AAATAAAACCCTTCTACCAAAATCACAACCAATATATATCGAAGTTGAAAACAGACTACCAGAAAATATCCAACCGTCCGACACCGATGAGAAAAATGTTGAGATAACCAATGAAAACGAGAATATACATTCAGAAAATTCTGACATTGAACAATCTGACATTGAACAATCTCCTGTAAAACATAATACTAGAGGTCGTGGAAGACCTAAAATAATAAGAACTGGTTCAAGGGGAAGGCCAAGGAAGGAATACCAATCTGCAAATAATACTTCCGAAATTGAATATTGTTTTATCTCAGAAATACCTATAAAACAAGCATTATCAAGTCCAGAAAGAGAGGAATGGTTGGAAGTAATGGGAAGCGAAATAACATCGATTATTAAAAATAATACATGGAAGCTTGTAAATCGTCCTGAAAATGTAGAAACAATTGGAAGCAGGTTAATTTTAAGAAACAAGTATAAGTCGGACGGAACTCTTGACAAAAGAAAAGCACGTCTGATAGCACAAGGATTCAACCAGCAACCTGGAATACACTTTAATGAAACGTTCTCACCAGTTGCTCGTATGAGTTCCATTAGGCTTTTGACCTCCCTCGCCGTACATTTTGGTATGAAAATATATCAATTTGATGTTACCACAGCTTATTTGAACGGCGAATTAGAAGAGAAAATATTCATGGAGTGTCCCAAGTATCTTCGTGAAATTTTGGAATACTTATTGGAAAGAAGAAATTGTTCAAATAAAATATTGTTGAGAGAACAAGAAATGTTTGAAGAACTTAAATCAGGAAATAAAGTATGTCTACTGAAAAAGGCTTTATATGGACTTCGACAATCAGGTAGGAGTTGGTATAAAAAGTTAGATTCTGTTTTAAAACGTTTTGGCCTAATCGCTACCAATGCTGACCCCTGTATGTTCTTTAAACGAAATGAAAGAGATTTACTTTTGGTCGGAATTTATGATGATGATGTCATTATGGCATGCCATAAACCTGAATATGTAAAACTTTTTGAGGAATATTTGAGTTCACAATTCGAGATAAAATATTTAGGAGAAATTGGATACTGTTTAGGAATTGAATTTAGTAGAAATCGAGAAAAAATTACCATGAATCAAATAGGATATATCACTGAGGTTCTAAATCGTTTCGGAATGAGCGACTGCAACCCTATAAGTACTCCAATGGAACCAAATTTAAAACTAATGAAGGCAAAAACAGATGATTCAGAAGAAATGCAGAAATATCCCTATAGAGAATTGATGGGATGCTTAACTTATTTGGCAGTCGTCACACGACCAGACATCAGTTTCTCAGTAAGTTTCCTAAGTCAGTATAACCATTGTTTTGGAAAAGTACATTGGGCCGCTGCGAAACGTGTTCTCCGTTATCTAAAAGGCACTATAGACCTAGGAATCACTTATAAACCTACCTATGAACCTATAAGAGGGTACGTTGATTCAGACTGGGGCAATCAACCAGAGGATAGGCATTCCTTTACTGGATATATCTTCATGTTGAGTGAAGGACCTATCTCATGGGAATCCAAGAAGCAACGGACGGTAGCATTATCCTCTACCGAGGCCGAATACATGGGATTAACGGAAGCAGCGAAAGAATCTATTCATTTATGTGGATTTATTCGTGAATTAGGACTGAAGGATTTGGACGATATCACTGTCTTCAATGATAACCTTTCAGCCCTAAAGCTTGCCGAAAACCCAGTTTTTCATGCTAGGACCAAGCATATCGACATTAGATATCATTTTATCAGAAATGCTTTGAAAGAAAATTGGTTAAAAGTGCATCATGTGAGCTCTAACGAAATGGTAGCAGATGTACTTACTAAAGGGTTAACCAGATGTAAACATGAAAACTGCGTCAACATGATGGGATTGGTCAACTTCAAACACGTTTCGAGGGGAAGTGTTAGGAATTGAATGAATCACCCTATATAAGACTTCATGTGAGAAACGTCAGTACGAAGTACAGAATGTCAATTGTGTAATTCTCGATATTGTAATCATTATAGTTGCATGTTCATTTCATAGTAATATATAGTTATATCCTATACGTAGTCCATCTTTACTCAGTCCCAGACTTCTAGCAACTCCAGCTGTTCTAACATATTATGATGTAGAAGTGTATTAGAGACTGTTTAGAAAAGAAAAGAAAGGAATATCTACTAATTAGCAAAAAGAATCATGATGGTTTTCTACAAGCCTTATTATATAGGCTGGAGAAGAGAAAAATATTTTAAAATAAAAAATTATCACTTTGTTTTTTCTTGCTGATATTTTTTTATAAGAATGCGATAGTTTTGTAAAGATTTTTTCCTGTTTTCTAGGTAAACGTCTTTAAAATCATTAGTGTTATACTACATATTATATACATTTGTTGTTCATTAATATTAATTCAATATTAATTTATCAGCTTTATTCTACTTTTCTTGTAAGTACAAAGCTATAGATTGTTCATAAGAAATCATGTTTGTATGTCTTGGTATTAATAGTAGCTAGTGTTATTTATAGTTGCTAATCTGAGGTACCTATGTGTTTACTAAGACTTTAGATTCAATTGCTGCCTTCTACTCTTAAAATCCAACGTAGCCAATCCCTTATTGATTGACTAAATTATCGAAATAAAAAATACAATAATAGAAGCGGCAGTAATATTTCACCATGAGTTTCAAATTAAGATGAGGTATGAGGTAAATACATTTACGGTGCTCTATAAAGAACAGGATTTCTGTGTTTAGTAGATTGTATGCCTAAAAAAGGCTTTTAAGTAGATACTAGGAGAGGAGAAGTAGGTTCTTGAATGAAAATAAAAAACAATGTATTGCATGAGGTTTGTAATAAAGGAAATAAAATAGATTTTAATAATTTATATAAATAACTAGGTTCTAAAACATTGTAAAATAGATTTATTTACTATTTAGTATTATCTCTTTATTAATTTAAACATGAAAAGTTGATTATTGAATTAGTAAACAAAATACTTTATTTTAGAAATTAAAAGTTTTGTTTATAGATGTATTTTATATAATTAGTTTATTTTATATTTGAAAAAATATAAATGTGATCTTTTAAACAAATTAAATAACAAGAATGAAATAATCAAAGCAAAGTGAATAGTAATTAAAACTTAGACAGTTCTGATCGAATCAAATTTTAAACTTGCATATAAATATTGTATATGCATGTTTTTCGTTTATAATTAACCATGTTGCAGCTTAAATATTTTAAAGGTAAGATATTTTGTTTACACCGAAACAATTAACAATTAAATTAACTTTAATAAATCATTTGAAAATTAATATTTTAAATATCTTTTGAAACAGTTTTTGTTCTTAATGTGGCCAAAAACTCGACAAAGTCTGCATTCCTCAAAAAGAGTCCCAATAATTTTGTTCCTATAATTTAAGGATGTATTTTCAAAAATTTTTAAAACCATAGTATTTTCTATTTATTAGTAAATATTTCGCTTCTTTCGTATTTTCCTCTTTCCATTTCTATTTCCAAGTCATATTTCTTACTCTATCTTCTAAATTATTTTTATAAACTATATTTGCTTCACACATACCAAATGTACAAGTCGTCTAGAGCTTTGCTTTTTGATTTTTTAAGTGGACACGTTACATGTATTTTATCAATTCTATTTTCTTCATTTTGTTTGAAACTCAAATAATAATTGTATTGTAACACTTCTGGGAAATTCTTATGCCAAAACATTCGACCAAGTCTGTATTCCTCAAAAAAAAGTATTTTAAAGCTCACCTTATGTCCCAATAATTTCCTCTTATATTTTAACGATCTCTTTTTCCAATTAACTATTTAATTAGATTCATTGGCATTTTTAGTGAAACATTTCTTTAAAATGGGTTTTTGTGAGTTAGTAAGAGATGCACAAGACCAGACCAATGCAAGACTCATATGAAGTTAATCAATTCTTCATCAACAAAAAATAGGATTAAAAATGTTACATGACCCCTTCATCCACTTACCCCTTCAATTCTATTACGAAGTTTTATTTGCTTCTCTATCTTCTAAATTCTTTTTAGAAACTTAATTTGCTTCAAACGTACCAGCTGTACAAGACAGCTAGAGCTTTGTGTTTTGATTTTTTGGTTAATTATGGACACATTACATGTAGTTGATTTCTTTATAAGGTCTTCCTTTCCAAAGTTCTTCTTCAAGAACTCAACATTCTTCATTCTGTAAGACACTTAAATAATAATTATAACATATTTGGTAATTCCTGTGCCAACAACTCTTCCCACATTAATTTTATTCAAAAATTGACTGCAGTTTTACTAAATATCTAGCTACTGTCAACCATATAACATTGTTCATGTTCTGTAGTTATTTTAATGCTCTATTTTGAATTTTCTAATTAGATATTTGACTTAAAATTAATGAGAATACTAAAATTATAATTGAATTCACCAAAAATGAATAATTACTTAAAGAAATAAATTCCTTTTTAGAAACTTAATAAATAGTGGAGTAAAGTTACACTTGAAACGTTTTTGTCCAAATAAATTGTTTTTGGATGAAGAATTCATCGATCATTTTTTAAATAGAAATATGGTTTATCTGACACATCATTTAAAATTTCTTAATTATCTATCGTATTAATAAGTTTAATAATTCTGGTTTTTAAACTGTCAAATATTTAAATTATTACAATTTATTCTTGTTTATTAAAAACAACCAAATTCAAAGCAGGCTCAAATTGACGGCTCATGAATATAACACAGTATAATGACGACCGCTCAACTCTTTCCGAAATTTTTCTTTCATTTGCACCTGACTGTTAGTGAAATAGCCATGTGCGACATTTTTATTATCTCTAGAAATAAAAGCGACTTTTGGTGTGAATTTTGCTCCATACTATAATGAAAAAAGCATGGTAGGAATTATAAACAGTTTAGTTACCTCCTTTTGCACAACCGATTTAACGCACCTCTATTATCTAACCCCACCTAAATTCCAGGGGAGAGTGAGAGGCATGCTGAGGGCCGGTGGTAACCAACAACAGCAGCAGCAATCCCAACAACAGCACCCCCAACTCCAACAACAGCAGTCGTTCGGACAGCAAATGGGACAGCAACCTCCCACCACGACATCTAGCGGAGGGGGTTTGTTTAGCAGCCTGATGGGTGGCGGTAGCCAGCAGACGACGCAACAGCAGCAGCATCAGCAACATCAGCAGCAGCAACAACAGCCGTTTTCCAATCAACAACAACCGTTCTCCAACCAACAACAAGCGTTTTCCAACCAACAGCAAACCTTCCAGAACCAGAACCAACAATTTCAAAACTCCAACAGGATACAACACAAAGGAGTGCCTCAGGTCGTGCCCAACGTAATGGGCGGTACTGGGCAGATGCCCAATAACCAACAACCTCAAATGAACAACGCTGGTGCGCCGAATTTAATGCAAAAATTGAACGAAATAACCGCACCCGGTGGTGATATACTGTCGAAAGGCAAAGAACTTATATTTATGAAATTCGGACTAGGAGGAAAATAACCATTTTTGATTTTTTCTTGTTAGTTTTTAATCATGCTGTTTTTGGAACCGTTGTGAAACATTATCTTCCATCTTTGAGCGCGTGTGATAAGGGGCATTGATAAGTCTATTTGAGCTCTGTTACATTTCATTTTAGATAAATTAAATGGATTGCTACCTAATTTTTTTCCTAACAATCTGAAGTAAATAAAGTTTTATGTTTCATTGGAAAAGGGGCAGATGATGAGGGCCACCAATGTGCTTTCAAATATCCCAAATGACCTATTTAGTCCCAGAGCTTCTTTAGAAGTATGTAATACCGTTCGTCATAAAAATTTCATCCGCCCGTTTGCCGCCCATAAAATAGTAGCCACGTAAAGCACTCGCCTTTTGGAAGCAGACGAGGTTGAAGTGAATAAAAAATCATCAACTTTCTAATAAAATAACAACTAATATGTTATTATTAACATTTAACCAATTAAAAAATAAAATCTCTGCAAACGGTCGCGTTTCAAATGCAAACGAGCTCAAAGGTGACTAAAAACTACCTCTATAGATCTAGTATTATGTGGCAGTAAAAAGGGGTTATTCTATTAAAAATTGCTTAATATTAATCCTATGTCATAAAAATGGTCGAATGTTATTTTCAATTTTATACTCTAGGTCATGTTTAGTTAAAATTGTAATTGATGTCAGTTATAAATTTAGGTTAAAGTCTAAACTTTATTGGTAAAATATAACGTTGCCGTTAAAAATAACTTCAAATGGCTGCATTACAGTAAGTTATTTTACCAAACTACGCGCATTATTTGATAAGAAAATTTATATTTTCATATAGTAGAAGATGAGGGATATCCAGTGGTACTTTGCACCTTGGTTACATAATAACCAGATAATATTGCTAACACAAGTTCGGAAAGAAAGATTTAATATTTATCTGAGAAAGGCCAGACATATAATAAAAAGGGTTGATGGAATATTAAAAGGAATGTTAAGGCATCTAACTTAAATTACAATCCGCTAAAAATGTTAAAAGTGAATCAATTTGATTCTTGTACAACGACATTTTTTGACATTGAAACCAAACGACAAAAACACCACTTTGAATGAATTTATAGAAAACAACTACTTCTATTGCACTTTCATTGTTGTTGATTGCATTTGCAATAGCGTTGGATATTCCTGCATTAGTGATTGCCTTCTCACTCAATTTGATTTTTTAATGATTAACTGTCAAATATCTTCTTTGTCTTCTTTTTAATCTTGTGTTGGATTTAGCACCTTGGTTCCCATATGCATCACATGTATCACATAAATGAATTATCTTCATGGACCATAAAAGGACGTCCCAAGTTTCCTGTTGTGTACCAAGTAGTTTTGACCTAAATTTTTATTTCTTACTAAACGTTTGTACATTGTATATTTTTGTTGTTATAATAAATGTCATAGCTATTTACTTGATGAGGACGTCCATTTTGGGGCAGCAGACGGCAATTCATATTTTATGGCGGGCAGTATTATATACCTCCAATAAGAAAGTTTTAGTATCTATGAGGAAGATAATTTTACTCTGCTCTCAGTCTAATTCTTAATGGGTCTTTTAACCTTTATAACCGAGTATTATCAATTTTTTTTCGTGATTTGTAACTCACGAGTTGTCTTGCATCCACAGTTAACCTGTGTCTCTTTCCCAATGAAACACTTGGTGTTGGAAGTGGATAGTTATTATTATTATTATTATTATTTATCCATAGGTTTAATATATTATAATAATTGACTGTCATTCTTCTAGTTACCTTTTAGTTTTTTACTACTATAAAAAATAATTATAACATTTCCTTTTCCCTTGTTTCCAGTTTGTTTAATTTGACTGGTGGACAAATTTAAGATTTTATAGTCCCGAAGATGGCTGAAATTCCGAAAATGCTTGACAATATTATTTAATTATAAGGCTGGAAATATCTTAGATATGTCTAAATTTGCACACTTTAAACACGTCTTTCATTTTACCTCAATCTTTGGTTAAATTTTAAGATTGTTGAAAAAGAAATTTGGCAAGTGATCCATTCCGAAAAACTTTGAAATGTAATTCTGCTAAATTAATTCGGGGTAAAATATTTCAGGACCGAATCAACTTAATTTGAATTTAAATTGTATACCTGAAGACAATACTTCAATGTGCGAGGTGCAGTTTTAAATATTTTTCCAGTTTGGTGGTAGTTAAGAAAAGTAAATATAAAAACAAAAGTAAATAGTGATAACCTGAAATATTTGTACCACGTGAATTAATAGAGGTGGCAGGTATTTTGCACTGATAGTGTCACTTTTTTAGTATGGATTTTTCAATTGGCGATATCGTTTACTATTTTTTAATATTTGGGAAAATTTCGTTTATATTGAAATGAATATAATTATGCTTAGGGTGCAAAATGCCTTTAGACACATTTTTCTATCGACTGTCAATATTTTGGAAAAAACAAAATTAATAGTTTTAGGTATCAAAAACTCAAAAAGGGACACCAAAGAAAAGTTTTGCTGGAATTTTAAAATTTGGTACTATTATGTTTTTTGGGTTTCTAAACACGAATCCAAGCTTTGAAAACAATTTTTTTTTGTATATTAAGAGCGAAAAGTAATACTTTGGCGCTTAAGACAGAAAGTTGGCCATCTGTCGCACCTTACTTTTCGCTCAAAATTCACACAAGATTATTCTACGATCACATTATTTAAAAAAATAGATATAGAAACTGAAAATTTGTCGTATGTAATGTATAATGTGTTGCTTATATCTACGTTATTCATGAAAAAAAGGAGTTGTTATTCAAAGTCACTGTTAGGTTAGGTTGAAAATGAGTGGGATGATCTCATCGCCATCCACTGCGACCCAGATGGGTCTATTGTGGCTCATAACTCACTCATAAGTCACTGTTAACTTGGATAATAAAACAAAAAAAAAAAAAACATTAAACTACGTACAAATAACTTCAAAAACGTTTATTAAAAAGAAATGTAATTTAAATTAGGCAAGCAAGTTTTCCGCTCGGAAATCGTCACCTTTATGGTTGTATTTCGAAGCACAAAAACCTACTTTGGATAGTGATCGTAGAAAAATATTTATTTTAAAACGTGAAAAACGTGAAAAAACGGAATTTTCGATCAATTCTTAAAAAAATCAAAAACTATGCATTTTACGTGGTAGTTCATCCTGTATTAAATTAAAGAGGATACAATTTCCTGCATTTCATGTATTTAAGTTTTTTTTTTGGATCAGTATTCAGCCGTTACAGTGACGCGAAAATGGATGACAAAAAATTCTTACCGAGAATTTTGGCATTATACGTCGATGTGTATTCAATTTACGCAAATATTTTCCATATTATATATATATATATTTTTTAAATGTTTGAATGCACCTAATCATATAAGATTAATCAGCATTTAATAATAAATGTGAAGATTTATTTAAAAATACAATTTGACGATTTCACAATAGGCTGCATTTGATAATCGAAGACACGAATGGATATTGGGCCTATATTGCAATTTTTAAAAAAATACTTGTGTGCTAGAGGTTTAAAAAATAGTAAATAATTTTCTTACAATGTTTCAGCAGAATCTGATAATAAAAGAGTATTCAGAAGATAAAGAGTCTATGTACAAAAAAATTTGACAACATTTTATGGATAAAGTGTCTATGTAACTTAGGCCTTATTTTTATTAGGCACTAAAAATATACAAATATTTGTTTCTCTTTGAAAGCAGGTCCTATGTTTTAACAGATGTAAACAGGCTTGCGTCATTCAGGCACACATTAATAGTTTTACTTGTTTTTTCTTGTAAGTTTCAGTCTGTATTAGTACCTATAAACCTATGCGCCCCTTATCCTGTTAAATGAATTAGTGGATAGAGGGCGTATGTACATTATTTATTTTTTTGTAAAAAACTGAATGTTTTTAGGTTAGATTTTATATTACAAATATGTTTTCAATAAATACATATTTATAGGAAAAATGTTGTTTTATAATAGCCCTTCTGTGTTAAACTAAGCACAAAAAATTTTGAACTGGTTTTTCTAGAAAACAACATTTAACTATATAGGCCCTTCATCTATTTATGTCTTCAATTATACAATGTTTGAAAATAAACAATTTTGCTGCCAGCGTAGTAAAATCAACCGGTTTTATTGTTAGAAAGGCCCGGACCTTCACTTGTCTTCCAGGTACCATTTCGGTAGGCGCGAAAGACGACAGCCGACGTGACAGACGACAACAGACGTGACCGAGAACTGTCTCTTCACGTCTGAAACACATACAATTATATGAAATACATTTCGCACGGCGCGACACGAGAAGTGTCGTCAAGACGACACTTCTCGACGACACTTTGGATCTGTCTCCGAGCAAAGCGTTTGCTGCGTGTCGCACTCGAGGTCACTGTCCTCAGACATCGCTTGTATTTTTTGGAGGTGATTAGGTTGGAAATTTATATCGGCCTAGACAATGATGCCAGATGCTGGAACAGTATGGGTGAAAAAAAAACCGTAGATCTGAACAGTAAATTTTAATACAGGGGGAAATCATTATAATTTGCAGTGTAGTAAATTAAAAAAAAAACAGGTATATAAAAAACGAAAAATAAACATTTTTCTACCCAAATCAGAAAGTAAACAAAGAATAAAAATAAATAATAACATTTTTAATATATACTTAACGTACGGAAACAAAAAAAAAAACAATGAAAAATAATAGGTACCTACTTCTTTTAGATCAGCCTGAATCAGATAATTTAAAATAATTGTGTTTGGCATGCATGTTCTTTTTATGATGCCCTATTAATTCTTTGTTTCATTTTAAATAAAAACATAATGATTATCTTGATGATTTTTTTTATGGAGCCAACCTAAAGTAGTGGATACTTATTACGCTGCTTTTACTTCAGCAAATTTACTAGAGAAAATATTCTTTGACCATTTGCTAAAGAATGCGGCAAACTTAATAAATTAAGAACAAAATTTGCTAGAGACAAAAACAGTGGATCTACTTAAAAACAGTAGGTCTGGCAACGCTGATCGTTCCCTCAAATAGTTATCTGCGGGTGTCACGCCACCTGTCTCCTTGCTTCCCAAATGTACGGAGTGTAAACATTTATGCATCTGTCGTCCTTGGGGTTGCCTCGGTGGTCTCTTGTTTCCTGACGCGCCTACCGAAATGGTACCTTTAAACTAATTCTCCCTAGAATGTATATTACATGCATTAGGGTAGCCTGTAAATATGTATTTTATTAGAAAAAAAGGTTTAATTAATGAATGAAAGTACAGGGATAGGGATAGGGATAATAATGTCAATATAAGTAGGTAATATAATAATGATAATAGTAATAAAATAAAAACAACCAGAATAGGATCAGGCCTATTTATGGACAAATACAACATAAAAAAAGACGTATGCAATTAGTGGGTGTTTTTATTAGTACCAATAATATATAATTTGTTTGTTTTTTTTTATTTATTTATTTATTGTATATTTACGGGCAATCGAGCTAGTCCATTTACAATAAATTGTAATAATTATTATAAATTACATTGGTCGGTCTTGAATAGTATGCTTAAATCTATTTATTGACGAATCAAATATATTATCTAGAGAGTTTACCAATCTAAGTATAAGAGGAATAGAACTGTTTAGAGTAAGGTAATATTAGGTGGAAAATAAGTAGGACGTTCTGATCGCATTCTCCGTGATCTAAATGGATTTATTGTGGGTCATGTCTAACTTATACTTCACCAAACAAGCCACATCTTTCGATGAAGACTATGGTTGACTTGGGTAAGAGCTGTTTAAAGTCGGTAGGCTCTATTCGGGTTAATCCGAAAATTTGCTCCGCGGATTCATTTTCCACGCTGCAAAATATATTGTCAGATTTTTGTTGCAGAACTATCTAGATGAGAAGTCCTATCATCGATTCCGTGAGAATTCGAAAGATCATTCCTAATTGATTTCCGGATCTGAGTAGAGGCATTATTAGAAGGGTTGAGTATAAACGCCTTCAAATTAGTTAGCCCGGGCTATTTCTCCAGTTCTCAAGTGACCATTTTATGATAATGCCTTTGGCAGTGCTCATTGCAATGCCAAGGAATAGTTCTAGTCCTATGAGCTTGGATTCGATTGCTCTTTTAGCGAGCGTAGTGGTTTTTTCATCGACCTCCACACCGCTGTATCTCCGAACCCAGATGAAAGTAGCTTCGAGTCAACACAGTTAGAGCTTAGGGCTTTGATGGCTGCCTGGCTATACTAAAATATCTTTATAGTCTTATTAGCGGGTAAAAAATTTAAAATCTCTTGGTCCCAACTCTGCTTGAAAAATCGTGGTTAACTCCTTTTTCATTTTTGGAGTCATCCGTCTGCATGAGAGAAGATTTTAGTCTTTCTACTCCATACGTTTTTCTCTGGAATGAGGACGCTCTATGTGCCGCCGGGGAAATACGGTTATTAATCTTACTCATTCGTTCCGTTTTATTACATAGCAGTTCTTCTTTGCATTGACTACCCATCGCCAGAAGTCTGTAGAAGAACATCCTGGCCTCCCTCAGCAGCAAAATGTGGATAGCAGTTAAATCCAGCATGGTCTCAATGGCTACTAAAAGAAGATATACGTAAATTTACCTGGAAAAATTTGCGAAGTTTTGATATTTTGTGAATCTACGTATTTTAAGCTGCTTTTTCCGAATTTTTATTTTGCCACCTCGTTTCTTTGCCACTGTCTCCGCCATATTGCAATAACTTGTAAAAAAAAGAGATTTTTCAAGATATCTCGTTACTTTTTGTTTTGCAGTAAAAATGTGTAGTAAATTAAACTACATCATTTTCTCTATCAAATTTTTTTCATAAAACCAACCGTATTCGTGTACGAGAATTAGAAAGTTAAGCAAGTACGCAGCGCGCAAAGCAATACAAATTTTATTCATTTAGCCTACCGCTAGAATCTAAAAGTTGGATACGGATCTCGTAAGCTGATTGACACCTTGGCTTCAATAGGATTTTGTTCCTCGTACACAGAAGCAACACTTTTTTGAAATTTCGGCTTTCATGCGCCCTCCTTTATGTATTGACAAGAGTGCCTTTTCACAGTTTGTTTTCGACAATGCGGACTTTAATACTCAAACCCTGGATGGCAGAAACACTTTTCATGCCATGGGAGGCATCCATTGTATAACGGCCGCAAGTGCCATTGCTCCTGATCAGAATATTCCTCAGCTCAGTACGTCGAAAATTCTGGTAGCATTACACTACGAAGCCATGAGAAGATAATGTTTTCTAGTCTACAGGGAATTCCTATTATAGATCTCCGTACTATTTCTTCAGTCGAAAATACAATGTCGGCAACTTCGGATCTGCTGCGGCTCTACCGGAAATGGGCTGATTTGCCCAATATACCTGGATGGAATGGATTTATGGAAGAAGTGACAGGAAACTATTCATATCAGAAATCTTTTATAGCTTGTTTGCCTTTCATTAATGCACCACTGACTTACTCCGACACGATTTTTACTGTTTTAGCATCAGCGTCTGAGAAAAGTCAGTAAATCAGACACTGTATTATAAAGCAAAACAAATTGTCTGTTTGAGTAGAATGAAAGCAAAATTGAGAAATGTCGTTATACGATTAGGTGGTTTTCATTTATTGATGTCGTTCATGGTAGCCATAGGATATATTATGAATGGTAGTGGATTAACCAAGCTTCTAAGTACAATTTTTGCACTTGAAAAGATGTTATCTGGACAGGGATTCTTATGTGCGAACTCAACACGTAACGAATAAAATAGAGAGAGATGTTACATAAGAATTGCATTCTATGGAACGAAGATAGTTGTCTCAACACGTGCCGTATCGAAAGATGAGAATCCCAGTGCAGAGCACATGTGTCCATCTCGCAAAATTGATCATGCAGGAAATTGATTTATTACCAAACCAACACGCAGGACTAGAAGCAATTTTATGCGATTTCGACAAGTCGGTAATACTTGGAGCAGAGAAGAATAATGCGTCAAAGAATTAGCTTCAAAATTTGAAAATCATCTGGTAACGTGGTCCAACTGCTAAGTTATGGGTTTCTTACTTTCGCATGGTATCAGTCATGAAACAATTTATTGAGGCCGAAAGAAGTGGAAATTGGGACTTTCATCTTAATAGTATCTAGCAAATGTTTCTCTATTTTCATAACAGTGGTAATCTTTTGTACGCTAAATGTGGCCATTTATATTTACAGGATATGTATAGTTTAAAAGATGAATCCTACAGAATACAGCTCTTTTACAGATGGAGGGCGCTTCACAATTAAACGTTCTGCCAAATTTTGATGTGGCATATGGTCAGATATGGTTATTAAGAAATCATTAATGCGAACAATGAAAATCGTAGGTGGACTAACTCGTAGGCGGAGAGTCCAGGAGAGCGTATTTTCTAGGTGAAATGTCATTCTTGCACCATATTTGTGACGCGGTTGAAAATTTTTTCAATATAGAGTTAGCGGATTAATAATATTCACCTTTCCTGCAATAAAAGAATTGATGTCAATAAGTACTGAAGTCATTTTTGCTGTAAAAGCAACTAGTAACAAGATATCTTGTAAAAACTTATTTTTTCACAATTTATTACAATATGGCGTTGACGGCGGCAAAATTACGAGGTGGCAAAATAAAAAATCAAAAAGAGCAGTTAAAAATACATCAAATCGCCAAATATCAAAACTTTCGCAAATTTTTCCAGCTAAAGGTAATGTTATACAACACGTAATTACTGGAGTAATATATGTGTAAAATATTTGTGATCATCTGGTGTCACGAGTAGAAACAAAAATATTTATTTTCTATAGGATTTCGGGACAATCATATTTTCTATTAACAATATCAAAAAGTAACATCAGGTCTCTTCGTTTTTTCTGGTTTTCAAAGAAGGTATCATAATAAATTTATTTGTAATTTAAGGTATGTATCTAAGAAAATTGTTTTGAATACAATCCATTTTTAATTTATACAGAACAACTAGAAAATATCAAGTACTAACTAAAATAGGAAATTTATCCTCTTTAATTTAATGTAGATGCATAGTTTTGGATTTTTTAAAATACCGAAAAGATTCGGGTTTTTACACGTTTCTTGAGAAACAAATTTAATTTCCTTAAAAACTTTTATTAGTAAACATCAGGTTCGTATTTATCGACCAAAAAAATATATAGGTACCAATTTAATAACATTCCATCAAAACACTTTCCTCTGGTTTTCCAATAATGCCAAGACTGTAAGGGATTTACATACTTGAAGAAAATCGTTAATTTTCCGTGACCAAATATTGGACAGCCAACCGATAAAAAAATGTTTTGAAAAATCGGAAGAAACGATAGGTATATGTTAAGGGACTGAATATACTTACGGGTTAAAAAAAAGTTAAAATTGTTGTTGACGACTGAAGTAAAATGTTGAATTTTTCATGCATTGTTTTTCTATTTTAATCGTAAATACCTAAATATAAATATATAAATATATATCGGTTAAAGTGTTCAATACAAGTGGCTTCTGTGGTATTTTAAGACAGTGGCGGCTCGTGCATATTAAAAAAAAGAAACTTTGCCTTGTTGACTTAAGTTGAAAACCTGTCCCCGAAAAAATGGTAAAGTATTAAATGAATTTAATCAGATCAATGTAGCTAAAAAAGTATCAATTTTTTTAAATCCTTTAGAATAAAAAGTTATTTTTTTTAATAAATTATTAAGAGTAAAAAATGTACTAGATGCATCTGGGGACTGGTTTAAAATTTAGTAAAAATTTATCTATCATTTTAAATATATATCACCATAGTTTTTTAAAATGACGAGCCGCTGGTGTAGAAATCGCATTCAATAAAATCATATCCTTAATCACTTAATCAATGTGAGCTGCAATTTTTCTCAACAGTATTATCTCTATATCTTGTATAAAAAAAGTATAAGAAAATTATTCAAATTTACTTATTAAGTACAAAAAGTATATTGACCAAAATATAATTTTTTATAGCTTGGATTTTATTAAATTTCATGGGATGTGCTTGTAGACACTTATCATATATTTAAAATAAGACGTGTTGATTATAGAGTGGATATTTTTCAGAATTAAGGAACGTTAAGGTACTTTTTGGAATTATAAAAACAAAAATTCAGCGTTTTTAAAATGTTAATTATTTTTTATTTAAAATGGGATCCAGTTAAAAGTATACGGTGTAAATTATCTTAAATTTCGGATATATAGAGTGTTCGCTAAAAAGTTGAGAAAAAACGTAAAAATTCAATTAACAATTTTAAATTTATGCAATTTTATTACTAAGATGGTAATCCTGTACTGAAGAATAAAAAAATTAAAAATATAGAAAAAGTTTTTAAAAAGCATAGAAGGAAAATATCTTCGCTGATTCTGGCACCTACACAATATAAACAATGAAAGATGTGTTAGAGACCTATAATCAAAAGAAAGAGATATCTTAATATTGTAATTTTATATAATTAATAAATTATTTCTGGAATATTTGTTTTTTAATAAAATATCCACTCTGTACGTTCAATACTGTAATTGTTACTTTAAACAAAAGTTAATAATGTTCAAAAAATGAAATTCTAAAATATTTATAATATGTTTCAATAATTATTTTTGCTTTGGTAATAAACATCTTAAAAATGCATTTTTTAAAATAGTTTACACATTTTAACCTTCTTAAATTGTTATAAAAATGAAATACAGTTTGGATGTGTAAGAAGAATATAAAAACTATATAAAGCTCTATCTAAATATAAATGAACTATAAAGATATACATCTTGTGTAATATATACAACTTGTGCAAGATATAAACTTTGGGTAAGATTTACAACTTGTGTAAAATATGCAAATTCCTAAACAAAGGGTCTTCTAAAGTCTAAAGCAATACAAAAATTCATATTTTTAAGATGTTTATATTCAAAGCTGGTTGATTAAAAAAAAACGTTATTGTTACTGATCATAGCTTTTACTGCTATTGCGAAATTAAATTCTGTTATTATATAAACTTTTATCATTGTAGTTGTAGGTTTCAAAAACAGCTTTAAGATTGGCACAACTAGGCTGATTACTTTAAGCTATATATTGTTAGTAAGTTTTCAGAGAATTCTTCTGTTTCAAAATATCGTTTTATATTGTGTCCGTGGGATAATTGCACATACATGATGGACACATATTTTGAGAGCTGAATTTTGTATGCGAAAAATGTTTTTTTGATTTAATTTGGTTAATTACACGATTTAAACACACAATTTAATGGCATTAATAGCAAATAAATACATTTTTGATGCATAATGTTCACGTGAGTTACCCTTATTTACTTGCTTATCTTCAAGATTTTGTTTGGCAGCAGTTTTTCAATAAAATAATAATGTGATGTGAAAATCCTCTAAAAAATTCTAGTCCAGTAAATGAAGGACCGAAAAGATCGAAAGCTGTAAAAAATCGCTGATGAGTTCCCGTAGCTCAATTTGTAGGTCATCGCAGGTGTTTTTAAATGAAAAAAATCCTTAACGCGTTCTTGGTACCGGAAGGGGCTGAATATGGACCTCTAAACTCTGAAAAACTGGTTTCCCGCTAATATCTGGCTAAATATGCAAATTAGAGAATTTTTGTTCAGACAAAAAATGAAGATCAGCTCATTCTCTACAATAAATGATCCCTACCAAATTTTCTCGCAATACCAATATTTTTTGCAAAATCCATAATTTTCATATTGAATAGATATGGTAGTTTCTTGCCGAATTTTCGCTCGATGGGGTTGGAAATGCATTGATCTTCATCTTTTGGACTTTAGAGACCAATTGCAGATGGCGCCAGCACCTTTGCTCTTCTCGCTAAATTACGGAGTCCGTAAATGAAAATCTCGGAAATAATCGTTTATTCGACAATTACTGGCGGATTTCACATGATTTTTTCTGCAAAGTGGCGCTTGGGCTCTCTCAATTGTATTAGCGAATATTCTGTGCAATTTGAGTTGCAAATTTACCAGAAAATTGCAAAAAATTATTTTTACTTGTGCCAAGGTCTTGAATCCCGTTGTTTTGGCTAAAAGCAAATGACAACTTTTACTTTTATCAGAATAATATGAGTGCATTATTTCGGAAAAAATAGTCTTTGAAAAATTACATTTATTTGAAAGAATTGGTTGGATATAAAACAACCACTCCAAGTCATCAGAATCATATACATATTCTTCATCGTCAACGGTATTCTCGTCGCCTACTCCCTCTTGCTCCATTTATACCCTCCCCCTGTCGTCTTTTCTCTCTCTCCCTCCAGCTGTATTTCTGCCTCCTCGCTTTGCAATCCTTCTGTCTCTTCTTCTACCTGTATTTCTACGTCCACCTCTAATTCTTCCGGGAATATACCTTCATTTCTTTTATAATTTGAACATTGTGTCAACTGACACGAACCAGAGATGGACGAGCACTTCAGACCTGCTTTCAAACATGAACAATTCTTCTCGCAGCCTCTCTTACACCGACAAAAAATCATCTTCAAGAGTTCCGGTGCTACCAAAAAATAGATGACAACCGTTAGAACAATTACACCAAGTTTTTAAAGTTGAGGCAAAATAAAACGAACCTTATTTTCTGCTTCCAACAAAAAAATCCTTGAATACTCTTTCTTGTAGACAAGAATAACGTGGACATTTCTCACTGTAAACACTTCTTCTTTTTTTATAATTGAATTGATATTGATATTTATTTTATTTTAAATAAATAATTCAAAATAAATAATAAAAAAATATCATCAGTACCTCAATAATCCGGTCAAGCCGACGACTCCAAAAAAAGATTTTATACAAACACATGCAGACAACTATCGCCGCGTGAGTACACGAGGTTAGGTTATATACAGAGATAACCAGTTATCTCTGGTTATATACAATTTCATGGATCTCAGAAGGGGAGCGTAAAAATGAAGTATATAATTGTAACAACCTTTTTAGAACCAAGAACGGATATGGGGATTGACTTATATCAATGAAAAGGTCAGAATACAAGCTTTACTCTGATCTAGTTTTTAATCCTCAAAAAATAAAGAGCAGGGAACAAGAAATGGTTAAACAAAAAAGGCTGGTTTTCATTCGTGTGATCAATTTTCCTCATTTCTTGAAAATTATTAGACTCTATTAAAAATAAAAAGATATACTCGAAAAGTAGACCATGTAAGCTTTAAAATGATGTGCACTGGAAATCAATATAACGGATCATAAGATTATAATTCGCGCTTGTTCCGAAGATTCTATGGAACTCCGAAATCGGTTAAAACATGTAAATAAATCAATTTTGTATTAAAACGCAAGAAAAGTATTACAAAAAAATTTCTGAGATTATTCAAGACCCCCCAAGGTCCCATTATAAAAGCAAAATTAGAATAAATGACTATTTTTAAAGAAAATATGAATAAATTAATGAAGCAGTCTCTAAATATTGTTGAAAAAAACTTTGACCGCTTTTTTAAATATTTTTGGCAAATACTAACTGACTTCAAGTCACATAGAATTGTAGTTACGGGTTTTCCCATTGCGATGAACTTTGAATTATCGAAAAATATCAATTTTTTCCCGAGATATGGAACAACTCGTCCGCCCGCTTACACGTTAATTCATAGAAAGCGGAATTCCTGCTGGTAGAGCAGCAGCTGAAATTAGGGGACTTTTGAGTGCCATTATTTCGAAAACTATTGAATTTTTGAAAAAATTGGTAGGATTCATTTTTGTAGATAATGAGCTGATCTTCATTTTTTTGTCTGAACAAATATTCTCTAATTGACATATTCAGTCAGATATTAGTGATAAACCCATTTTACAGGTTTTAGGGGCCCATTTTCAGCCCCTTCCGGTACCAAGAATGCGTTAAGGATTTTCTCGTTTAAAAACACCTGCGATGACCTACAAATTACGCTATGTGGGAACTCATCAGCGAATTTTTTACAGGTTTGACCCTTCAGGTACTGGACTATTCCTGTAATGTTAAATTTAAAACTAAGGACTTTTAGTTTTTATATATTTTGCATATATGATTTAATGCTCTTAAAATTTGTGATATATCTGAAGTATATTATTTTGAAGGTAAAATCTCACATTTTTTATCACGTCATGTTGATATGTTGTGCCTTCTCCTGTTTACGCACAACTAAATGATTTTGGAAATTTTGGAAAAATAAGCCAAATTATTAATAAAAAAAACTTTTTAGCACTTTTTTAATTTATCATTTTAATATTACTATTTAGGGGACACCTTTGTCATTCCTTTCTCATCTGTCACTCTAATCAATAAAATTTAAATAGGCAAAAAAAGAAATCAAAAATAACGCAATAGTCATATTGCTGAATTATCCGCAAAATTACTTTGTTAATGATTATGTGCTTTATAATTAAAATTAAAATAAGTTATTAAATTAATAAGCACCAAATTATAATTTTCTATAAAAAAATAATTGTTTTACCAAAACTTCCAAAATATCTAGTAAGTATTATTTGCACTTTTGTGTTTGTTATTTTTATTTTGTACAAAATAATATAAAATAATAAGTATGTAAGATAAAATTAATTATTATAAATATCGATGTTTACCCTAAAATATTATCCCTATAGACTTTTGTATATATATAAATTAAATAAAAGGAACTTTGCTTAAAATATTACTTGTTAAGAATGTGTTACCCATTTTTTGCAAAGTTTATTATCATGTCTATTGTCTAATGAACTTCCTTGTATATATACTAAAACTTTTCACTGCTTACAAGTGCATGGAAAAATGGTTCTTGGTTATGATACTTTAATGTAATTTGTAAAAAATTAGAACGAATATGAAGATAATATATTTTTACAAAATTTATCACTCTTTCAGGTTTGTTTTAGGTGTGTTTTAAAAAAAAATATATTGAATTATTCAAGTACCTACCCTCAAAATTTTACTCACTTTCATTAACAAATTTTAATGTATTATTAATATTATTGTTAAATATAGGTGAATAATGAATAGTCTATTTCTATATCAAATTAGACACATTTTTGTTCAAACATATTTGTTGTTTTGGAAAATTATAAATAATTAAATATGTTATTTTATTTAGAACACTATAATAGTCATAATGTAACCAGGACCATTTTTTTTAGAATGAATGTGACGAATGCAAATAATTAGTGATTTGGATGGTTGTGAAAATGGTCACATATCAAAAATTGGCCACAAGTTTGAAACATTTTTGCGGCTTGTTATCTATTATATGTATCATACACTGTACCAAATAAAACTGATAATAAATGACATTTACAAAGTTACCTTTGTTTAGTTTTTTTCGGAGTAATATTCCCACTACGCTTTTAGATATGGTGTACAAAATAGTGTAGTCTGTACCGATGGCAACATCAAGTTGGCACCTCTTCGTTATCAGTCTTCTCGCTCATGGTTTTCGTTTGAGATTATGTTTTTGCCGTATTTAATATGTGTTAGTGCTATACGCTATATTTATAAGATCAAACGAACTTACCTGAAGTGATGTTCGATCTTAATTATATGATGCCTCGTCGAAGTAAATAAGATATATGTCGCCCCCTGTATATGCTTCGATTTGACCACAAAGTTGAAAGCTGGAACTATTTGATATATTCCCTTCTCCACCAATCCCCTCATCTTAACACTTTAGTCATTTCATAGCATACTTGTTGCGACTTAAAGGGGACTTTAGAAATATTGGGTGGGTCTGGGACTTATTTACTTCGACGAGGCATCATATAATTAAGATCAAACTTTACTTCAGGTAAGTTTGTTTGATGTTATAAATATATTTCTGCCTCGTCTCGTAAATAAGATATATGTCGCTGTTTAAAGCATGTTGCAACAAAAATTACGATAAAACATTTTATTTATATTTAACTGATTACAAGTTTAAAATTTATATTGTCATAATTGACCCACTTTCAAGAAAACTTAAAAATAGAGATATGTCATGTGCTCTAAGAGGAAAAATTGCTCCATACAAATAACTCAAAATGAAGTTCATCCATAAGCTGATGGTCTGCGTAAAGGCAGCATGATGCGGCGCTCTAATAATAATGTACAGAGGCTACCACAATTACCCCTTAAGTCTTTAATTTTTTCTATATACTCAAGGTTGTTCCTACGCAAATACCTGGGTTTGTATAAAAGAAAGGTTTAACATGGGATAAACTCTATTGTTAGCTGATATCTTTACTTTTTTCGTTACCTTTTTCTGATTTTCTTGTTCTTTTCTGACAATTCTATATCTCTATGGTTATAAAATTTGAATGTGCTAACCAATATATAAGACCAGTAACACTGCTAATTTATTGGTAAGGTTTTGACACTACATTTATGTCCCACGTGTTTTCTTATTTAAGCACATCTGGTCTTAAACCTAAAAAACTTCTAAAAAAATCTTTTTACCTGAAAATATTCTGCCATTTCAGGTTCAGCTATTTGCGCTATATCTAATCTGTAACAGTTTAGGGAATAATATGATGAATCACTATAAAATTGTCTTGTTAAATAATATTCTAACATGGACTTCCAACTACAATTTTAATCGGGAGTTATATTTTTTAGGCATAGTATCCGATATCCATGAGAGTTTACTGAATAATTTCCCTGGTGGCAGGGATATGCCACCTGCCATCAGGGAAATTATTCCTGAGAAAGGATGGGATATCCTATCAAAATAAAGTAAGTCCTTATTAGGAGTGAATATCAATGTCTGATCTACTCATAGCAATAAAAATAAAAATAACGGATACCAAGGCTGAAAGTCCCATAATGGTACCACCACCACGACTTTCACCTTTTTGTTTACTGTAGTAGTAATTATAAAATTATATTAAAAGGCAGAAATGTATAAAATTAAAGATTTTAACCAGTTAAAAATGCATTACTGGCTACTGTGTTTGGGTTTCCCAGCCAAGATATAAATCGTTTACATTAAGCATTTATTATACTTTCAAATAAGTTTTTACCGGGATACCGGAACTATTCTTTTTTAAAAAACGGAAAACTGCTATTCACCATTCCGTATACTATTTTGAATAACGGAAAGCTTTATCAGCTCGATAATTAAATTTGGAAAAATATAAAGAGGCAACGGTTCACATCATCGCCAAATTGTATGAGCAAGACTATTTAACTTGGGATATTAATATAATATTGTATAATACGCTTCCCATTCTTTTAACACATTATAATGATAGTAGCCACAATGTTAACTTCTCGGTACAGTATATTAATTTATGGTTTTTCGTTTGTAAAAACATTTTAACCTGAACAAAACTGATAAAGCTGTATAAAAATTATATGATACTCTTGTTCAGATTCTGACCAATAGACCCATTGCATAACACGCTCCATCCCTTCTTGAAAGCGTCTTTAAAAATTTCAATATCAAAGAAATCTACACGAATATAATATCTACTATCACGTAATTTATTAATCCAGCATAACAAAACATTTGCTAACTCTTTAGATATTTTAATTAGTGAATTGTTATCCCCTTTTGCTTTTTACGAGCTAAGAACTTTTCTGACTCTACGATCTTTGTATAAAGTTTGTATTGCTAGATATAGGCAGGAAACTAGTTCCCACTACAATTTATAAAATGCTCTAATGGTCGGTCCATCTTTCTTGTACTGAAAATTATTTTATAATTTTTAAAATTTTATATAAGAAAACAAGTATAAAAAGCTAATTTTTCTAGAAATCCAATAGTTTCTGAAAAAACTTAATACATAGTGTCTCATATGAATTACTTATTAACAAAAAACATCTATGTATACGTCATATAACCATGAAATATTTCTAGCCATGCTAAAGTATTTTAAATTTAATAATCACTCTGTCTCACTTTTAAAATCATACTTTCATCAAAGAAACCAAATAGTGCAAATAGATAATATTTTTTCTTCTTCGATGAAGGTCACTTCTGGAGTACCTCAGGGAAGTATATTAGGCCCATTGTGTTTTAGTCTATATACCTCACAATTTCCTACTGTTTTGAAATACTGTAATAGTCATTTATACGCGGACGATACACAATTATATTACTCTTTTAAACATTCTACACTAAATGATTCCATCTTAAGAATTAATTCAGATTTGACTAATATATTTAATATATCTGAAAGGCATTCATTAAAAATAAATCCAAGTAAATCAAAAGCTGTGATATTCTGTAATGAATTAATTAGACAAGAAGTTACATCTGCAGCATCAATCAAAATAAATAATATGAATATTCCTATCGTTACCGAATGTAAAAATTTGGGTCTCATTTTAGATTCTAAGTTAAAATTTCAAAAACACATTACTGTTAAATTAAAGACATCTTGCGCAAGTTTGAAACTAATATATGGATAAAGATATTTTTTGTCTCAAGAGGTGAAAAAGCTGTTGTGTGATTCATTGGTATTATCAAATTTCAACCACTGCGATATTGTGTACGGCCCTTGTTTAAATAGTTTTGAGTCTAGAAGAATTCAAAAATTCAAAACTGTTGTATAAGGTTAATATATGGAATTCGGAAATATGATCATATTTCAACTAGTTTTAAGCAATCAAATTGGTTAAATATGTATAATAGAAGACTTCTACATCTTGCCTATGTATGTCATAAGCTTTTCAATACAAATATGCCTGCATATCTGCACGATAAACTAACTTACAGAACAGATATACATAATCTTAATATTCGACTCAAAAGTATCCTTAGGTTACCAAGATTTTATAAAGCTGGTTTCAAAAAGTCATTTACCTATAACGCAACAATCTGCATCAATGATTTATACAGAAATAATCAGTTATTATTACGACTTAAAGCAAACACTTTTAAAAAACAATACAAGACTATTCTGTTACACCAACAATAATAAATTCTCGCTTCCAAAATGTTCCTTCCTCCTTCCTTTTTCCTCTTTTCTTTTCTTCCTTTTTCTTTCTCCTGTTCTGTCGGTCATCTTAATGTAAATTATTTTTATCACTCTGGCACTGGTGGAAGATCAGGAGTGAAGCGATTCACAACTGAACCGGTTGTAGCCATTTGTCCTCTTAGGTGTACTAAATATTGTAAATATTTTACAAATTATGTAACTGCTCTCTTTGTGTAAACTTTAAAGTTGGACAATAAATGTATTATTATATAAAAAAAACTCTCCTTCATAGGAAATAAATTAGTGGCTTCGTCAGTTTTGTAAATACAAGTGGGGCAACACTTACACAAAAAACAGACAATTTGTACTCGTACAAAGAGTTCTTATATTTGAATATTTATTTATTTTTTGTGAGATTAATTAGTACTAAATGATGGGCATCCCTTAAGTCCACCTTTGCCATGAAACAACATGGCCGATATTACTTTATGAACTTCTATTTTGAAATGTTTTGTTCTAATGAAACATTTTTAATTTAAGAAAAAACGGCTCGACCCGTCTAAAAAAACCTTTTGAAAAAGAATTGGCCCTCACATGGCTCTGCTTTCTGGACAGCACCCATCTTTAAAAGTTTACAACACATTTTCTATAATATTAAGCTCGAAAACCGGCCATTTAGATTGTATAGGTATATCGTCTGTCTATGCCTCTTTATAAACTGTATAGAATAGCTACTAAGCCAAGACGAAATTTAAATTTTATCCCATATAGTAATCGGAATGTAGCTCAATATACGTAATGAAAAGCTGATGTCACAATCAGATTAAAAAGAAGATGTAACTCGTGATTTTCCGATGAAGCAGTTAAGGATGTACACTTACTATGGATCTCATAAATTTATTATATAAAAAATAATTTCGATGTCTTAGTCAAGATGTAGCTTAAAATAAATAGTCATTATCTGATGTCACAATCAGATTAATATTAGGATGTAACTCATGATTATTAAAAGTCATCATCGGACTGTAACTTGATGACGAATTATAGGTTGTATAGGTACTTGCTTTTTATTCTATAAATATGCATAAAGTATATCCGATATCGTAGTCGGAAAATAGCTCGAAAAAAATATTAAAGATCTGATTTCACAATCAAATTAAAATGAGGATGTAACTCGTGATTATCCGATGTTAGGATCAGACCATAACTTCATAATGGAGTCAAAAATGTATACTTATTTTAATTTTATTACTACGTATAAATTATATCCGATTTTGTAACCGGAATGTAGCCTAATATACCTACATAATGAATGTGTGATGTCACAATCAGTCTGAAAATTAGGTTATAACTGTTGATTATCCGACCCTATCCAATCTGATTCAATGGCGCAGTC